GACTCTCCCCATGAATACATTTCAATATATAATATTGCCCTCGCTGCTCGTGGTTTTCCACCCACATCGTTGGAATAAAACACTGAGGCTTTGAAATGTTGTAGCAACAGATGTCAGGGATAATGATCCAATGCAACATTTTTTCTAAGTGTGAGGCTATGACCTGATGTGCCTTCTCTGAAGCTTTGTGGACACATTTCTACACTGATAGTATATCTGTTTAATTTTCATACCTTTCTTAAGTTAAGTACGCTTTCTTTTGTTTCTCAGATTCTGTTTTTGTAGGTTTTACGCTGTCATATCTTTAAAAAAAAACTTTTGATTCATATTTTTTACAGCACAATCTAATAACATTTAAAGGTCCCTACTTTGGGAACTCTGTATTTGTAGCCTTTGCAGAATATTTACATGCACAAAAACATAAGGGAAAACCCCAAAATGCAGCGTTAAGATGTCTTACGTTTGAAATTCTTGTACTAAAACAAATCACAATATCTGAGCAACTCTTAAAACAATTGCAATTCAAAACAGACACTACTATCCGACTAGTTTGCTGAAGGTTTTCTTTTCAATGCAATTTTCATGGAGGTATTATCCAAGGAAGAAGCATCACTGAGATTTAGTTAGTTAAGTGAATCCACAGGGATGAAGACATTCTCATCAAGTCTTAACGGCTGTAATATTCCAGCATCTGTTCTTCTAATGTCGTGAATGAAGCAGCTGAACACATTCTTTAGAAGCTCTTTGCTTCAATATGTGCCTTTATGTCCTTATTCCCCGAGTCCAACTCTTCTGAAAATTGCAGAAGAGGAGCTTGTCACCGGCCCCTTGTGAAATAAGCCGGCAAAACGTTTTTTGGGGCGTTCCCCAGGGCTCTTATCCGGGTCCGCTGTAGATTCCTAATTATCAGCGTTAATCTTTTCATTGTCCAGAGCCCGCCTGTCGCTCCCTGCTGCTCAGCGAGGCAGAGACACACTCCAGGCCTCCTGCTTCCCGTGTGAGAGCAGAGATTCGGCCTGACATCAGACATGGGAAGCGAGCCCGCGCAGCATGAAGGGTAAAAGGTCGAGATTTGACCACCGGCGGGCAGATAAAGCCGCCTTTTCATGTGTGATCAGCCCACAACCTAAAGACAAATCCCTCGGCGCGCTGCTTTGAACTTCATCGCTGGCTTTCCAGAGGATAACGAAGGCTTGCGAGAGAGGAAGTGATGTTACCAACACCTCTTTACTCTGCCGAATGACAAGAACGAATGTTAAAACATATTGGTAACACCTACTCCTTTCAAAAAGTACACTAATGAGGTGATCCACTGTACGCTTTACTGCTCTCGCTTATTAAATCTCTGCCAGTCAGAATTGAAAGACATGAAGATGAAGAGAAGCAAAGGAGTCAAGCATGGATTTTTTATTTTTTTGAAAATGATTGTGCTGAAGGAGCTGGAAGCTGATATCAGAAATATGTTTTGCCAATGCTTTGTACATTCAGTTCCTGCAGCTCGACTTTCCAAGTGGAAACCAGGCTCTCAACGGTCTTCCATAATTCATAAGCAACTCATCGCCAAAGCAAGCCCATTGCATCCTCTCTAAACGAGCGTGCTGTGCGGCGCCCACAGCTGCACAAAGGGAATGTCAGTCTCATGATGGACAATTTCATATTCTTTGTTTCAGAAGAATGGATGTAAGTAGAGGGCGTTTATCTTCTTCTTCTGCAGGTACAGGGAATGCAAACAATGCTGGAGAGCGTGTGTTGCGTCTGTCTCCAGATACTTCAGCTCTGCACACTGCCGCCACTTTTTTCTCCTACTGTCATGTGACGTGTGCACGCTGCGCAGTGTGTGTACACACAGTCTGTATGTATATATATAGCGCGCTATTTTTAAAAGCTGAACTGCAAATAGTAGGAAATGGGGCCTAAAACGGTCCTCGCCGCTGTTGCCATTCCTGGTCTGCTGCTGCCTCCTCATTCATTCATGAGTCTGCATGAATTTGCAGAAACACTCTGGGCTTTTCTCTCTCCACTTTTCCCTTTTCGACATTTCAAATTTATGAAGTGCCAATCCTGTGTTTCTGATCATGCATTGTAGAGTATCATAGACCACCCTCTATTTCATGGTTAGTTAGATGCACGGCTGAATTAGACACGGCTTTTTGCACTCTTCGTATTTTCTCCGTGTTACATACAATTAGGTCAGTGTTCAGTATTTATATTATAATAATAATAATGTTATCAGTGGACACCAAATCAGCTTGTTGTTAAATGCCGAGTTTAATCGGAGAGATCTTCCCGACTCATACATGCTTGACTGAGAGTCAGGGAAATCAAAATACAAAAATAACAAAAATGTGCTTTTTGAGAGTTAAAGTCAAATTCTTCCTTTTATACCCTAAAGAATACCCTATTTTCTTGTAATTGAATGTGCATAATTGCTGGATAGATAAATATACACTTTAAGGACTTTTCATACAAGAGCTTAAAGTTATAATGAATTATTATTCATTTGAAGCAGAAGTGTGTTATTAAATCTTGAATAATTGTTTGATCATTAATTTCATGTTAGGCTTAATGATGGTTGAATGGATGGTAATTTTTGTTTCACTGCTTGATATTAATAACGCACGATCAGGTGTTTAGTTGGTTTGCATTGGTTGTGTTTATGTGGCAATAGTGTGTGACTGTGTGTGTGACTGTGTGTGTGTCAGGAGCCCAGGAATTACAGCCAATGCTAATGCTATCGCTAATAGGTATCTTAATGAGTATCCTAATAAAGATCATGTGGTTTTTAGAATGAATGTAGAGTAATGTTCATCCCAGTGTCAACGGTCGTACTGCCCTGCTTTTATCACACAGATCACTGAGTCATTCGCACAGATTATACGATGCGATACAATAATACTTTACTGTCAGATATTGTTCTTGAATCACAGCAGCTCCATTTGCAACGTCAAACAAGGACAGATATTAAGACACGATGCAAGGAAAACAAACATTTACCAGAACATCACGATCACTGAAGAGAAACACTAATCAAGACCCTCAAACATACATTTGACTCAATGGGAATACACATTTTTGGGCCAATTGAAGTCGCAGACTGACACAGGAAATGTAGTACTGCCGTTTGGCCACTACACATTTCTGCTTCAACGTCTTAGGGTCAAGTCAACTTTAAGTCAAAGTCAACTTTAAGTCAAAGTCAAAGTCAACTTTAATGTCAATCTTCCAGTTTGTGTGTACAGACAGCGACTTAAATAAAAACACAACAATCAGAATATACAACATAACAGTCACTTCAATATTTTGAGAATGTGTATTAGTGCAATATTGTCCATAGAATGTGCGTTATTTTATTGACACAGATCACAGAGTCAAACCTGTTTCCTGTCATAAATTAGCTGCGTTTATGATGGAAAATATGTGGCGTTCACAGTCTCTCCTCGCTGCCTTCGATCGGGGGGGGAAACACATTCAGAGTGTCAGTCAATACAAGTAAATACAAATAAAATACAATAGACATAGTGCAAGAAGAGTCTATATACAAGTAATTGGAATATTGATATATAAGTTGATGAATGTTATCGAGGTTCTTTCAAAAGTTCAGGTGTTACAGTCTTATGGCCTGTGGGATGAAACCGTCTGTGAGTCTGGTGGTTTTGTGTACTTTTGCCATCTCTGGTCATAAATGAGCCACTTTTCATGACGGCGTTTTTTAAAAATATGTGGCGTTCACGGTCTCTCCTCGCTGCTCTGCTTTCGATCGGGAGGGAAACACATTGGTAGTGTCAGTCCGGGGCAGCCGGGGGCCGCGGGCGACCAGCGGATCAGTGATGTGGCGCTGATGCCTCTAATGAAGCTGACACAGCACAGCCCCCCCCCCGAGGGCCTCCTGCTCTGCGTGTAGCCCTACAAACACCCCCCACCCTCCATAACTCCCACCACCACTATATAACCACCACGGCCCCTAGTAGACCCCCACACACCCACAACAACACAGAAATTCCTGTTTGTCATCTTGCCATATACTTATTTATATAAATATTTATCAACGCAATAAACCGTATTTAATTTTGTCTTAAAGGACCCCTATTATACTGTTTCTCATCAATATATTATAGGTCTCAGATATATACAAACATGTCTCGGAAGTGTTTGGCTCCAAACACCAAACAGATCATTGCAGCATTACCCAGAATCCCCTCTGTTTCAGCCCTGTTTCAAAAGTGCTGATTCTCTGTCTGTTACTTTAGATGAAAATAAGGAGCCCCTCCCCACGCCCCTCTGAGAGAGATTTGGTTAAAAAGAACTCAATGGTGCTCTAGGAGGAGATTCAGGTGATAAGGGGGGTGGGGGGGTTACCTTGGTTGCTGATTGGCTAATGGTTACACAAGCCAAACAATCGTTATGACATCATAGGTACATCATCAAACCAACTTTAATTTACATTATTTTATTTTATATTCTGTTCTTGTACATATCATATTCTGTTGACATGTATATAGACTTTTTGCACTACTTTTTATTTTGTATTTTTGTATTTTATAATATATGTTGCATTGTTGAGGAGCTCAGGTCAGAAGAATTTCATTGCCATTTCTCCACTGTACAGTAGCTTTGTGCATATGACGATAACACCTTTGAATTTGAATCTTCTGATTCGTCGGCACCTCGAATGCATCGCTGCATCATTTTTCTGTCGTTGTGTATGAGGGGTCGTTGCAAACCGTAGTCATATTCCAATTACTTGAAGACTCTTCTTGCACTATTTCTATTCTATTTTATTTGCATTTACTTGCACACTTTTATCTTGTTTTATTGTGTTGCTCTGTTGGAGGAGCCTGTGACCTAAGCTTTTCATTGTCATATCTACACTGTAGCTCTGTACACATGATAATACAAGCCTTGAATCTTGAGTCTTGAGTCTAGCAGCTAAAGTGGGTCACAGGATGCACACTCCCCCCATTTCTCTGTGTACTAATGAATGTCTGTGTGTTGTTTTCCAGGATCTGCCCAGCTGAGGTGAAGGGGAGGGCAGAGGATCCCAGATCAACCTGAGTGTGGATGACCTGGCTCTGGAATCAGGAACATGATCTGAAGAAGGCGCCGCACACCGAACCCCGACTTCCTCTCCTTCTCCTCCCTGTTTTTTATTTTTTATTTCTAAATCTACTGGGTCACAGCCTCCCTGCCGGGCTGCTAACACCAGCGTGCACTGAGAGGACGACCTGAGGAAGGAAATACAGCGACAGCTATCCGTGACCTCTGACATCAACACACTGCCAGAACCATGGGGAGGAAAAAGATCCAGATCCAGAGGATCACTGACGAACGCAACAGACAGGTGAGAGGCTGTTCAGTAACCCAGAGATATCTGGATGTGTAATCAGGCTTTGGGAGTAATGGATTACATGTGATGAGATTATGTAGTCAAGATACCATCTTTTTTAACTCTATTCGATTACAATTACATAAAAAAACTGATTATGGTTACATTCAAAATAAAATAGAGATTACTAGCAGGATTACAGCGTTACAATACATTTTGAAATAAAGACCGATATATTGTAGGTACACATACTGTCCTACTTTTCTTAATTCTTAGACAAAAGAACAGGTTGAAATTGCCTTTCTGCTATAATGTGGTGCAGGAATGAGTCCTGAAATCCCGAAATGAGTCAGCAGTTCACCACTTCCTGTTGCCTCGTGTTGAAGTCAATGTATTTTTGAATGCGTCCTATCGAGCTGCAGAAATGTTCTTGTTTTGTTCTGCGAGATAAGATACATCAGTAAGTACTCCACTGGTGAATACAAAAAATGTTGGTTGCTAAAAAGTGTCTAAATGAGACGACCAAACGTAATCACGCCCAACATTAGCCACCTTTTAACTTAGCGGTTGTAACGTGAAGTCATGTGACCGTGCTGTAGTTCCTTTATAGCCCAACATTAGCAACCTTTAGCTTAGCGGTGGTGACGCAAAGTCATGTGACAGTGTTGTAGTTCCTTTATAACCCAACATTAGCCACCTTTAGCTTAGCGGTGGAGACGTGAAGTCATGTGACCGTGCTGTAGTTCCTTTATAGCCCAATGTTAGCCGCCTTTAGCTTAGCGGTGGTGACGTGAAGTCATGTGACCGTGCTGTAGTTCCTTTATAGCCCAACATTAGCCTCCTTTAGCTTAGCGGTGGTGACGTGAAGTCATGTGACTGTTGTAGTTCCTTTATAGCCCAACATTAGCCACCTTTAGCTTAGCGGTGGAGACGTGAAGTCATGTGACCGTGCTGTAGTTCCTTTATAGCCCAACATTAGCCTCCTTTAGCTTAGCGGTGGTGACGTGAAGTCATGTGACCGTGCTGTAGTTCCTTTGTAGCCCAACATTAGCCGCCTTTAGCTTAGCGGTGGTGACGTGAAGTCATGTGACCGTGCTGTAGTTCCTTTGTAGCCCAACATTAGCCACCTTTAGCTTAGCGGTGGTGACGTGAAGTCATGTGACCGTGCTGTAGTTCCTTTATAGCACAACATTAGCCGCCTTTAGCTTAGCGGTGGTGACGTGAAGTCATGTGACCGTGCTGTAGTTCCTTTATAGCCCAACATTAGCCACCTTTAGCTTAGCGGTGGTGACGAGAAGTCATGTGACCGTGCTGTAGTTCCTTTATAGCCCAACATTAGCCACCTTTAGCTTAGCGGTGGTGACGAGAAGTAATGTGACCGTGCTGTAGTTCCTTTATAGCCCAACATTAGCCTTCTTTAGCTTAGCGGTGGTGACGTGAAGTCATGTGACCGTGCTGTAGTTCCTTTATAGCCCAACATTAGCCACCTTTAGCTTAGCGGTGGTGACGAGAAGTAATGTGACCGTGCTGTAATTCCTTTATAGCCCAACATTAGCCACCTTTAGCTTAGCGGTGGTGACGTGAAGTCATGTGACCGTGCTGTAGTTCCTTTATAGCCCAACATTAGCTTTTTACTTCAGAAATCATAAAGTGGTGTCCTGCTAAACAAACCATGTTAGTATTATTAACGTGGGAACCAGGGAGATGCTAATTTACTCTACAAAAATAATGCATCTGATGTTAAACTGGATTGAACTCCCTATATGATTTAAATATCCCCGTCACACATCCTGCTCAGGTATAATCATATCAACGCCTCCTTGATTAATTTCCATTAGGCTGACAGAAAGCCTTATCAAATTCCCACAGGGATCCTTTCTGATTTCACATGTCCCATGTAGCATGAACAACCTAATGGGCGTTCTCTCAACAATATAGCCGCATTGAGTTTTATGAGTCTCATATGACTCTAATCAGGAGACATTTTCATTCCCCTACAGTAGAAAAAAAAGCAACACATTATGATATATACCACCTTAAAACAGTCCCTCCGGTTACATCAGTGGGATTGTCAGCGATGATGAAAGGGTAAATGATCCGTCTTAAATGAGTCGACTGGTAAATGGGCTTCACTCCATTGAGCAGATTGAGTAATGGATGTGACGAGCTCTCCTTTTAAAAGCAGAGCGAGGAGAGAACAAGGTGTCGAGCTGAAAAAGAGCCGGCCGCGGGGTTTTGGAAAATCATCTTCACTTTTCTCCTCATCAATCTGAGTTGCATTTCAATAAAGCAGAAAAGTGCTCCTGCAGCGGGATGAAGGGTTGCGTTTCATCGGTAAACAATTGGACGTTAGGGAGAAGGAGGAGGAGGAAGAGGAGGAGGAGGAGGAGGAAGAAGCGGAATCACATAGGACAAGTAAACACTCCCAAAGAAACCCAACAGTTAATGGGAGAAATTAAAGAAACCTCGATAATACATTAACAACATAGGTAGTCCAGACTTCTAGAAAATGCAATGTGAAAAAATGGGAAAATTATCAAATATAATCAAAATATTTATATAAACATAAGACGTTTAAATGAATTTTAAAATGTAGTGTTACTTATTTTACTCGCATATTTCCATCTATTTTCCATTCATGACTAAAGGAGGTGAAATACAGTTTAACGCACACACCAGAGTCCTGCATCGGGTACCCGACCCGATGGGTGACCCGCAAAAAAACTGATTCGCGGGTGGTCGTTTTTCAAACATTTTCCGTGAAATCCAACGTCTGGGAGGCTTTTGGTGTCAGATGGAGAAAATAACCAACATCCCACGCTTTTTGAGCCAAATACGCAACTGCGTGTGTTAATAATTGCATGTTTTAATAATAATAATAATACATTCGATGTATAAAGCACCTTTCATTGCTAACAGCAATCCCAAGTTTTCATAGGATATGCGGGTTCGGGTTGGGTTGCGGATCTTGTGCCGACGGGTCGGGTCGGTTTGCGGAACTAAGTCAATATGTGCGGGTGGGCGGGCGGGTTCGGTATTGCACGTTGCGGGTGCGGGGCGGGAGCGGGTCGGGAGCGGGTCGGGGGCGGGTCTTGAAAATCAGACCCGTGCAGGACTCTGGCACACACACACACACACACACACACACACACACACACACACACACACACACACACACACGCACACATGCACACATGCACACACACACACACACACAGACGTACACAGACACACACACATGCACACATTCACACACGCACACACACACACACACACACACACACACACACACACACACACACACACACATAGACGTACACAAGACCACACACATACACACATGCACACATGCACACATGCAACACACACACACACACACAAAACCATCACCAATTAAAGGAATTTAACACACACACACACACACACACACACGCACACACACTGAAAAACCATCAAGAATTACAATCCAGTGATCCAATATATGTTATTCTTAACTACGCCATTCTGCATATTAAGTACTTTTAATGAACATTTTGAATTCAGTGAGTGTCACGTGCAACAGAGCTTTTTGTACGCTGCAGTATTACTACTTTGACTTGAGAAAAAAATACTTTTCGCGCCTCTGCATTTCACATTGTGTTTGCAGAGGAACGCAGTATCAGGCGGCTAGATTAAAGAAGATCTTTCCTGCACGCTTGCTGAAGCTAATGATCAGTGCAGCTTCTGAAAGGGAAATCAAATGAGATGATTTTTTGGAGTGCATGCAGCCGTCACCCTCCTACGTGTTGATTCAGAGAGGCTGCCATAAGCTCCAATAAATAAACAGAGTGTGGGCCTCGGCTGGAAACATGACAGCATCTCAAATGCCACATTTCTCACGGAGACAAAGAAAAACACGAGAAGCAGAACCGGGAAATGTTGGCATGGAGGGATATATTTTTGTATTATTGTGGATGGTGTGTGTCACATCAAAGATAGCAGAGAAAGGCAGGATTACTCACTGACACCGTGACCCTTGTAGCCGGGGGTAGAAACCATGAATCCAATAACTGCACAGATGGAAAGTAACAAAGTATAACTCACAAATAACATGATTTCAGCTTAAGCAGTTTATAAAGTCATCAGAATTAGCTCCACATGAGGTTAGTTCTTGGATTAAAGTCAGAACTCAGAAGAAAAAGTCAGACATTTGAGAAAAAAGTCAACATTTTTACAGATTTCTGACACTTTTTCTCTGAATTCTGACTTTAAACTCAGAACTAAAAAACCTAAAATCCCTTTTGGTCAGATCTAAATGAAATTCCCATGTGGCTCTTAATCCTCTTCCTTAGATGTCCCATTCATTCCTATGGGGAACAAGTTTACCAGTTTTTTACGATGAATTGGAGTTTCATTTCCATCCGTGAACCAGTTGGAGATCCCCTTTGAGAAAACAGACTGCTGAAATAACTTTGAGTTGTAACGATGTAAATAAAAGAAACATTTTTTAACTTTACGGAGAAGATAACGCTGTCAGATAATGTAGAAAACGAGGTTCAATAAGGTGGAAAAGTAGTCAATTTCCAAGTTTTAAAGCAGGGGTCTTCTCCAATAATGCCTTAACATTACAAAACATATCCCCAAAAAATGTCTGCGCTACAGGAGGCAGGAGAGGAGGTTACGGTTGTCAGGGGTGGTTTCCTCATATGCACATGCACACACACACACACACACACACACACACACACACACACACATACACATACACATACACATACACATACACATACAGACACACACACATACACACAGACACACACACATACACACACACATACACACAGACACACACACATACACACACACACACACGCACACACACAGACACACGTACAAACACACACACACACACGCACACGCGCACACACACACGTCGCCCCCTTTTCGCTCTCTCTTTCTTTTGCTTTCTGTCTTTCCTCACTGAGGATGTCTTATTCTTCAGTTGCCATTGGATACCTGGCTTCTTAATGTCAATT